AAAAAGCAGTATTAACTGAGGGTATTATGGATGAATATGAAACATCCCCAACAGGCTCATGTATTAAAGCTGGTGGTACTATTTTGGAAAGTTCTGAAAACTTCAGTAGGCTGAACTTAGCCAGAAGCAGATCCTTAGCTAAAATTCATATGGAAAATAATACAAAAACATTCTAAAAATAAATGAGGAAGAACTAGCCCTACAGGATATTTTCTCAAAACTACAAAGATGGGAGAAAGAAAGAAAGAAACAGGTTTCAGCAAATAGTCTCTTCAAAGGCCAGTCAGGCCATGTGGTCTCCGTTCACTCATTGAATTTTCCCTCTGTAGTGGGGAACTAGCTATAGACAATATGTAAAAGAATGGGAAAGTGTTGCAAGGAAACTATTTATGCTACCAGATAGCCGGCTCATAGGTCTTAAGTTTACCAATCCCTAGTAGAGATCATAACTAGACAAACAGGTTAGTCTAGAAAGTTCAGAAAACTGATCATGACTAAATTGATACTTCAAGTCAGTGAAGACAGGATGAGTTACTGAACAAAAGAAACGGACAATTAATTTAAAAACTGGCTAAAAATCTGGATACATATATGATACCTCAAGCCAAGATAAATTTGAGCTGCATAAAACATTAAAATATAAAATTTCAACGGGAAATGTATAGAAAGACTCTAAAGGGGAATTCTTTTATAATGTTTAGAGTAGAGAAAGTATTTCAAACCATGAAAAATTCATAGGCCATAAAAAAATTCAACAAATTTGAAATCAAATTTGAAATTCAATAACAAACACCATTTAAGACAACACGAAACAATATAAATCTTAGTAACAAAATACCAATTGTATTGAAATTAAAAAAGCTAGAAATAAGAAAAACAAGCAAAGCAACTGACAAATGGCAAAAAAATGTGAACAGATATTCCCAGAGAAGAAACCAAGAATAGCTCTTTAACCTAAGATATGGAACCTCAAAGTAAAAGAAACACAAATTTAAAACATCAGAGATCTCTTTTCACCCACCAAATTAACAAAAAGCAAAAAGTTTAAGGAAGACACATTAAGGAGGCTAAGAGAAAAGTAGCACAGTTAAAGAATACATATACTTTAAACAAGCCATTCTACTTAAGTAAGAATTCATCCTCCATAAATTTGCTGTAGGAGGAAATGACTGTATTTGAAGTTACTTATTACAGCATTCTTCAGAGTTAAAGAACTGGGAAAAATCATGCACATGATATGGGGATTAGTCAAGTAAATTATACATACAAATAATGAAACGCCATTCAGGCTTTAAAAAAAACTAACGGGCTGGGGAAGTAGTTCAGTGGTAAAACATATGCTTAGCATGCACAAAGCCCTCGGTCCAATCCTGGCACCAAAATAAATAAATAAATATACACATATACACACACAAATAAGCACTTTATATACTGATGTGAAATCTCCAGAATAAATTATTAAGTCAAACAAAGCCAAGCCTGGCATGGTGGTACATGTTGATAGTCTAAGCACTCAGGAGCTGAGCAGAATTGTTAGTTTGAGGCCAGCCTAGGTCACAAGGTGAGACCCTATCTCAAAAAAAAAAAAAAGAAAGAAAGAAATAAGCCAAGTCTCTCTGGTATGCTACATTTGTGAAAGATAAAAGGGAAGAAAAATGTATTCAGTCAGCTATTTATAGAGAAATCTGATGCAGTTGAGATGATTAAAAACCACATGCTTCAGAGATCAGAAGTGGATGGGGCAATGTTTAATATGTCCTTTTATATTTACTTTTTGGATTTTGAATCATATGGATGGATATATATGGCTATTCAAAAGATAAAGAAAAAATAGTACACAAAAAAGAAACATATGACTTTAGAATATAAGGTTAGACTTTATAAATGAGAACGAAAGGAAAATGTCTCTCTTAAACCAAATAATTTCCTGAAGAAGTTCTGATTAACTGTGATTTCCCTCAGTTCTATCAGTACCACATGGTCTCAAGCCATACTCAGGTTCCATTCCAGCTTTTCTATTTAATTTACATCATAGGGAAGTAAGCACTTAGAAAACTTAAGAAAGCAACTTGATAAACAGAACTCTTAATATACTGCGCTGCAGCCCAAATGCAGTCAATATGCTGAGTACTCAGTCGTCCTTCTGCTGCCAAGAAATTCAAAATCACTTGGCATTGTTTGATAATCTGGAAAAGGAACACTTAATATAGTTATCTCTTAAAAATACTCTCTATAGAATACATAAACGATGTAATTGTTTACAAACCTCAATATGTAAATTTGGCCAAATATATGCTCTACACATTGTTGCTAATAAAAGCCAATCTGCAAGTTCTTTTGCAATGGACCTAAAGTCAAATGATAAAACATTAAAAGAAAATTTTAGTATCCTATCCCATGTCCAAAAGGCAGACTCAGTTAAAAACCTGCGTTTATTCTTCACACAATTAGTCACAGTATTGTAGAGCAAAACTAAACTATAACAAAAAGCAATATTTCCTGAATTATAAATAAGTAACAAATAAACTGAAAAGATAGGATAAAAACTAACAAAAGGTACCAAGGTGGAATATCAACTCTAAATTTGCTTCCCACTTTAAAATTTCCATAGTAGGCACTGAAGCATTCAGGAAAAGATTTCTTCACTATGGTCTCTATAATGCAATCAGTAAAATAGGAAAGTAGATTACCAAAGGATGAAGCCAGGAAGAATTATCCCCAAAACTAAATTTTAAGTTTCTTGCCTGATACTAATTAAGATTCTAATGACGAATGAAAAGGGAAGTAATAGGCATATTATAAGGAAGTGGGTAGAATATTAAAATAAAACTTGATATATTTTAACTATTCTTGGTAGCCCTGTTGAAGTTGTATCCTTAGAACCAACTCTCTACACAATATATGAAAATTTCACCAAATAAAGTGAATTTCTAAAAAATAAACTCCTTTCAGATTCCTGGAAGACATTAAAAGGAGATGTGGGGAGTTTTATAACAGCCAAGTAAACTATAAAAACACAACAATATTATCAATAACCACCACTCAGGCCTCTGGAAACATACAGATAAGAGTCCCAGAAAGAGGAAAACAGGTGTGAGCCAGTTAAATTATTTGAAGAAATAATGTCTAAAATCCATCAAATTTGATGAAACATATTCACCTACGTATCCACAAAGCCCAACAAATTCCAAATAAGATGATCCAAAGAAATCACAAAGAGACTACATCATATGTAAATTGTTGAAAGCTACAGAGAAAAATCTTAAAAGCAATAAAAGAATTACAACTAGGTAAATGAGGTCAGTAGTTGAATTGTTATCAGGAACAGAGTAATAGAACTGTATCGAGCAAGATTTTATATTTTATTAGAATTAAATTAGTACTAATATGATGAAGTTAAATATGTACTGTAACCCACAAAGAAACCAGTAAGAAAATAAGTTTTAAATATAAAAAATGGAATTACACCTGGGTTCCAGTGGCTCACTCTTATAATCTTAGCTACCTGGGAAGCTAAGATCAGCAGGATTGCAGCTTGAGGCTAGCCCAGACAAATTGTTCACTAGACCCCCTATCTATAAAATAACCAAAGCCAAATGGACTAGAGGTGTGACTCAAGTGGAAAAGAACCTCCTTTACAAATATGAAGCCCTGAGTTCAAATCCTAGTTCAAATCCACAAAAAAAGGAATTACAATACTAGAATGAACATACATACTGCAAAAATAAGGTAGTAAAAAGAGAAATATAGAGACATGATATACAACGAAAATCAATAGCAAAATGATAGATGTAAAACCAGCTATATGAATAACTTAGTAGTGAATGGATTAAAAACTCCACAAAAAGAATGTGGGACTAGATTTTTTTTTTTTTAAGACCCAAATACATGCTGCCCCCAAAGTCAGACTTTAGCATGGCTCCAGTGGCTCATGCCTATAACTGTAGCTACTCAGGAAGCAGAGATCAGGAGGATTGTGGTTCTAAGCCAGCCCAAGCAAATAGTTCACAAGACCCTATCTCAAAAAGAACAATCACAAAAAGGGCTGGTGGAGTAGCTCAAGGTGTATGTATACCCTGAGTTCAAGCCCTGGTACCGCAAAAAAAAAAAAAAGGAAATACACTGCATTTGTGAATGAAGATAGTACAATGAAATGTACTGTTTACCCTGTTGAATAAGGGAGCAGGGCAACAGAGAAAGAGTAAACAATAGAGGGGGTTAATCTGATTAAAGTATGATGCATACATGTGTGAAATATCAAGGAGAAGTAGCTAAAAGTAACCGTGTGGTAGGGATCTATTTAGCAAGCATGAGGCTCTGAGTCCAATGCCCAGCAACACACAATACACTCTAAAAAGATGTTTAACATCATTAGTAATTAGGTAGAGAAATCCAAGTTAAAAACAACGAAATACCATTTTATTTTTGCTACAATAAAAAATATAGTAACAAGTGCTGGCGAGAATGGAGAGAAATGGGAACTAGTGGAAACAGAAAATGATACAGGCACACTGGAAAATAATTTGGCAGTTTCCAAAAAAGTTAAAACATAAATTGAGTGAACAAGCCAGGAATCCTATTCCCCAGTATCTACCATCAAAAATGAAAACATATGTCCACAAGACAACCTATGCACATGATAAAAGCAAGAGCACACAAGGGAGCTATGAGGATAGGTAAGACACCTAAAAAATTGGCTAGCATTTTTTGCCCTCAACACAGAGAAACTAAAGCAGATACCTTAAAAGCAACTGAGGCCAACAGGAGAAGGGGACCAGGAACTAGAGAAAAGTTTAGATCAAGAAGAATTAACCTAGAAGGTAACACACATGCACAGGAAATTAATGTGAGTCAACTCCCTGTATAGCTATCCTTATCTCAACTAGCAAAAACCCTTGTTCCTTCCTATTATTGCTTATACTCTCTCTACAACAAAATTAGAAATAAGGGCAAAATAGTTTCTGCAGGGTAACGAGGGGTTGGGGGGGAGAGGAAGGGGGCGGGTGGGTGGTAAGGTAGGTGTGGGGGCGGGGGGAGAAATGACCAAGCATTGTATGAACATATGAATAAACAAATTAAAAAAAAAAGCAATCTATGCACAAAATGTATGCAGCATTATTTATATGAATCAAACAGTGGAAAGAATCTAAATATCCATCAACTGCTAAGTAGATAAACAAAAGGTGCTGTAACTATACAATGTAATAGTATTTGGCAATAAAAAGGAATGAAGCAGTAATATACACTACAACATAAATGAACAACAACAAAAAAGGTAGCATATTAAGTGCAAGATGCCAGTAAGAGGTGTAGTTGTGGTTCAGCTGTAGAGCACATACTCAGCAAGCACAAAGCCTTGAGTTCAATCACTAGGATGATTTCCCCAAAAAAAGGCAGATAAAAAGACAGTGGTCTTTTTATCAAATTTATTATATATATTTATCATTTATTGTCAAATGATTCCGTTCATATAAAACATTCAAACGTAGGCTACAGAGACAGAGAGTAGATTAATAAGATGAAATGGGAATAGGACTGACTACAAACGGGCAACCAGGATCTCTCTGAAGTTATGAAAATTTTTAACAAAATTCACTAAATTGTACATTTTAAATAGGTGAAATGTATGTATGTATACAATACGTACACCTTACTAAAACTTTTTTTTGAGGGGTTGGTGGAACTGAGGTTTGAACTCATAGCTTCACTTCTGCAATGCAGGCGTTCTACCACTTGAGATACATCTCCAGCACAATTTGATGTGCTTATTTTGGAGATGGGGTTATCGTGAAGTATTCACCCAGGTTGGCTTCAAACCTCGATCTTCCTGATCTCAGCCTCCCAAGTAGCTAGGATTACAGGCCTAAGCTGCCAGCGCCCAGCTAAAACTGCTTTAAAAGACCCAATTCACTGTGCCTGACAATATTTATCACATACTTTTCTCTATACTCCAATTTTCTTATGCTGTACACATCATTCCTTCCCAACCTGAACTGTCATTAGCTTAATGTCCTCAAAACATTTACTCTCCTTTCTATCCTGTTAACTGTACCTTCAGGGTGACTATTCATTATACCTTTTTGAATGGAATGCCTTCTTATTCCCCTGTCTGCTACTTCCACACCATAAAGACCTAGCTATGTTTGCTTGGAATTACAGAAGGGAAATTTCAAGACTTTTTTTTCAGGGTTGGGGGTAGGAGAAAAGGTACAAGGCAGTAGACTGAAACAATTAGGTCTTAAAAGTGCAGCCCTCATGAATGGGATTGGTGCCTCTATTTGAGGGAGAAAAAGTACAAACTGAGCAGAGCTTTCTCATTCTCTTTCAGCCATGGGGCACAGTAAGCAACAACAACAAAAACACCAGTTCGCAATCAAAAAGCCCTCACTAGAACCTGATCACGTTGTCAACCTATCATGAACTTCGAAACTCCAGAACACAGGAAATAAATTTCCACTGCTTATAAGCCAACCAATTTATGGTAGTTTGTTGTAGAAGCATGTACTAAGACAGTGTGCTTTCTGAAAATTATTACTATATATTCACCACAAAATTCTCCTGTGTAATAGTAGCCTTTAGCATTTTGTGACAAATACCGTATGTTGGTATATAGTATAACAGAAATATTTCAACATATTTTTCTATACAAATCAAAGGCATAAGGCAAGAATTTCTAGTATACACTTCAAATTTAATAAAGTCACAATTACATTTACCATATAAGTAGTTGCACATTAAAATGTTGTATGTATAAATTAATGCTACTACTTACGTTTCTGTGTCTGATACTAATGATTCATTATTGCACACATCATTGAAGGTATGAAGTTGATTCTAAGATTAGAGAAAATAAATCAGTTTTTTTCCAAAATTTTTCCTGTATATATTTGCAAGTAGCAAGAAACATAGTGAACTGATATGTAGACACATACATATATGCAGAGAGTTGATGAAATGTTAAGACAAATAATCATACTTCCCAATTAGTATGACTATTTCCTTTCTCACAATAAAATATTAAAATTCATTCCATAAGTAATACTTATGCCTTATACTAAACACACTAAAGAAAATAAGCAGAGGAGGAAAAAAATAAAACCAAAAATCTGATTTAGGCAGAGAAGTATTACGTCGTTACAGATACAAAATTTCAGGAAAAGCATCCTGGATAAAAACCATTTAAGATTTATCATCTTGTGGGCTAGAGGCATGGCTCAAGCAGTAGAGCAACTGAATGATAAGCAAAAAGCCTTGCATCCAAGTCTCAGTACCATCAAAAAAAAAAAAAAAAAAAATCTGTGGCACATAGGGCCAGAGTACCTGAAAATGTGGCTGTTCTGAATTGAGACATGCTGGGAAGCTTAACATAGAGAGAGATGTTTTAAGGCGCAGTAACAAAAATATGTGTACTTAATTTTATATTGATCATATATTAAAATAATATTTTTGAAATATTGGGTTAAATAAAATCAATACAATTTTTTTTAAAGTTTTATCTTGGAAAATGTCAAGAAGTATTTTCTACATTAGAAAGCTTAATCCCTAAGTAAAATTTGGCTACTTTAATTTTTCAATGTAACTACACTACAAAAAGAAGACAGAAAGTATAATAGAATAAAGATAATGAGGACTATAGCAAACCATGAAAAGTATATATATTCTTAAGGGTTCAGCTAGCAACTTATCTTTAGCAAGTTATTGTCATAAAAGATTTAAGATCTTGCCAGGCACTGGTGGCTCACTGTACTCCTAGCTACTTGGGAGGCAGAGATCAGGAGGATCATGTCTCTAGGCCAGCTCAGACACAAAACAAAAACAAACAAACAAAAAAAGTGAGATTCTATCTAAATAATACCCAACACAAAAAAGGGCTAGCAGAGTGGCTCAAGTGGTAAAGTGCCTGGCTAGCAAGCATGAGGCTCTGTGTTCAAATCCCAGTACCACCAAAAAAAAAAAAATCAAGATCATCTTCCATCCCCACTTCTCTTAAGAGCAGCTAAGAATATAGATTTTTTTTATTTTCTCTCACTGAAAACAGTATTTAATACTGTGCAAAATAAATAACATATTGTGGTTGGTCAGATTTGACCTATGGCTCAATGACCTTTGGCTTCTGCCTGGCAAATTAACTATTTATAATCCCTCCCAATTATTTTTCTAAAAACATTGCTCTCTAAATGTTAAACACTGAATAGTTGCCAGGCATAGTGGGACATGCTTATCATCCCAGCTCCAGAAAGGTGAAATTAGGAGAATTTCAAATTCAAGGCTAGCCCTAGCTACATAGCAAAATCGCATCTCAAAATAATAGTAACAATGATAATAATTAAAGCTATAATCTGGATACATGCTGGGTATAGTGGCATCTATAATACCAACAATGGAGAGGCTGAGAAGGATTTCAAGTTTAAGGTCAGTCTGGGCAAGACCCTGTCTCAAAAATAAATAAATAAAAATGGTGGCTAGGTATGGTGGTGCATGCCAGCTCCTTGGGAGGCTAAGGCAGAAGGGCAGCTTGAGTCCCAGAAATAAAGGTCAGCTGAGCTGCACAGGGAGACCCCAGCTCAAAAAAAGAAAACAAAAGAAAAACACTCACATAAAATGGTGAAAGAGTTAAGAGTCAGAAATCAAACAGAACTAAGGTAGAAATCCTTATAATCTAAGCCTGACTTTACTCGTATTTAAAATAAGAAAGACAGAAATTATTTGTGAAGACAATACAAAGTAATCCATATGAAACACTTAGCAGAATGCCAAGCATAAAGTGCTTCATGAAGAGTGGGTGTTAATATAATAGCCTAGAAAGCAAACTAAAAAATGATCAGAAATAAAGCTTACTGTTATCTGACTCAATCCAGCCAACCTCATAGTCAAAGTAGGTGACATAAAGTACTTAAATGCAAGATCAAGACTCTCTTTATCAAAGCATAATGTTGTATCCAACGGTTCTTTCACTGTGCTCCACATTAAGTCAGCCATGTTACGAGCTGCACTTTGTCGTAACTCCTGATCAGAGAGCTTGCATAAATACCTAAATGATTCAAAAATAGAAAATGCACAAAAACTCTTAAAAGAAACACTACTAAATCTACCAACATTCCTTTGCTCCATACCTTCAGGTTTATACAGTAGTAGAACACAGCATTCTGAGACATATTCCCAATTTAAACTATGTCCTTTTAGATGTCACCTTTTAGAAAGCTTCATATTGTCTATTATACTACCTTACTTGCCTTATCAGAGTATCTGGGGTATTCTGATACCTTCTCCAGCACCTCAAACAGTATCAGAAAATAGCAAGCACTCACAATTTTGCAAATGAATAGAGAAAAAAATTATAAAAAACTTTTGATTTTTATTCACACAAATGAAGTCTAATCAGCAAAACCTTTCCTCCACCTTCTATTCTAGAATAGAGTTCAATTCTAGTATTGCCAAAAAGAAACAAACAATAACAAAAAACCCTCAAATGTGACCTCAAGGAAACATCCCCATCCCCATATTTAAAATAACACACACACAAATTTAACACAACCTCCCAAACACTTATCCACCTTTTCTCGTATTTATTCTGTGATACATAGCACTTTCTGATGGACTATTTATACATTTTATTTTCTAAATAGACAGGGTTTAATCAGTTTTTTTGTGTTATAGTCCCAGTTGCTACAATACAAAACTTAACTTGAGTAGGAAAACCAGTATTAATCGTTAATTCTTTTTATATACTCACATTAAAAAAAAAGGCTGAATAAATTCAAAATGTAAACATTAAATATAAACCTTACATAAGAAAAATGTACACTCAAATGTTAACTAGAATTTCTCTAGAGGACTACAAGGGACTTTCAATATTAACCTGTTATGAATTATTTAAATGCATTAAATAAATGATCAGAAAAAGAAATTTTATAAACTTACCTGATAACATAGGTCCTAAAAGGTATAATATGCTGCATTACAGCAGGAATATGTAGCCATATTCTAATCTATAAAGAAACATAAAAATGATGTTAATGTGCAAAAAAATACGAAGCACCTGTTTTTCACCAAACTAATTAAAAATGGAGCCTGTGAAACAGCAATATTAAATCTTTACTTTGAAGGAAGGATGTTTTTGTTTGTTTGTTTGGCTGGTTTTGGTGGTACTGGGGTTTGAAATTTGAGCCTCATGTTTGCCAGACAGCACTCTACCATTTGAGCCATTCATTCCACCAGTCCCTAAACCTTTACTTTGATGGTCTAAGGCTAACCACATTCCCCTCCCCTTGGTACTATTCATTTGTAGGTAAGAAGTTGCTGAGAGTTGTTTCAGATAATGTTCGTAAGCATTTATTGTTTCTCAGAAAAATTCATTCAGTCATTTGATGTGACCATCAAAAACCTTTTGAGTTTACCTGTTTAAAAAAAAAAAATCCAAAATTGCTTTTTTTTTTTTTTTTCAACAGGGATGGGATTGTGGTTTGAACTCAGAGCTTCATGCTTGCAAAGAAGGCACTTTACTACTTGAGTTACACCTCCAGTCTGTTTTGCTCTGTTTATTTTGGAGATAAGGTCTCATGAACTATTTGCCCAAGCTCACCTAGAACTTCAACCCTCCCAATCCCACCCTCCCAAGTAGCTGAGGTTACAGGCATGAGTCACTGGTGCCAGCAAGAAAATTAATCTAGAGCTCTCCCCAACATTACACTTAAAATTTAGCCGGGTGCTGGTGGCTGGCTCACGCCTGTAATCCTTGCTACTTGGGAGGCTAAGAATGTGAGGATTGAGGTTCAAGGTCAATCTGGAGAAATAGTTCATGAGACCCCATCTCCAAAATTACTACAGCAAAACGGATTAGAGGTGTGGCCCAAGAAGTAGAGTGCCTGCTTTGTAAGCTCGAAGTCCTATGTTCAAACCCCAGTCCCATACCACACACTCACAGAAAATTAAAGTTGAACTACAGAAGAAAACATGAAAGGTAAAATAATAAAACTTGTAGAATATAGGAAAGTAACTTCATGACCTTAGTGCAAAGAATTACCAGAAATGAGCACCTTAACTATTAAGAAAAACAATGACAGAACTATGGACGCAGCTCAGGGGTGTACTACTTGTTTGGCACACACAAAGCCCTCACCAGCAGTGCAAAAAGATAAAGCAGCCAGGAAAGATGACTCACACCTGTATCCTAGATACTTGGGAAGTGGAGAGAAATCAGATTTTGATTCAAGACCAACTTGATGAATATTTGAAACATACACTCCCCATTGCAACCAATAAAAAAAATCTAGGGAAACATAAATAGGAGGACTACGGTGCAGGCTAGTCAAAGCATAAGCACCAGACTGTATTTATAAAAATACCTAAAAACAGAAAGGGCTGGGGGCATGGCTCAAGTTGCAGAGCACCTGCTCAGGAAATGCCTGGCCCCAAGTTCAAAACCCTGCTACCACCAATAAATAAAAAAATAAATAAGCAAACCAACCAACCAAAAAAAACCTTCTTGTCTAAAATGCCCAGCCACCTCTGGGCAAATTGGAAATATTACACTTAAAATATTGGAACTCAGTTTTTTCCATTACTGTCAATAGATACCAAATTAAATCTGCTTTAAAAAAAAGAAAACCAGTGACAAATTACCCAAGGTTAGTGACAAATAGTATTTATTCAAGAACAAAGAAAGTGTACCAACCCTCCTTAAACTGTTCCATGAAATAGAAAGGGAAGGAAAACTGCCAAACACATTTTATGAAGCCAGTATTACACTTATCCCAAAACCAGGCAAAGACACCTCCAAAAAGGAGAAACTATAGGCCAATCTCCTTAATGAACATTGATGCAAAAATCCTCAACAAAATAATGGCAAATCGAATTCAGCAACACATCAAAAAGATTATTCACCACGACCAGGTAGGCTTCATCCCAGGGATGCAGGGGTGGTTCAACATATGAAAATCAATAAACGTAATAAACCACATTAACAGAAGCAAAGACAAAAACCACTTAATCATCTCAATAGATGCAGAAAAAGCCTTTGATAAGATCCAACATCATTTCATGATAAAAGCTCTAAGAAAACTAGGAATAGAAGGAAAGTTCCTCAACATTATAAAAGCTATATATGACAAACCTACAGCCAGCATTATACTTAACGGAGAAAATTAAACCTTCCCTCTAAAATCAGGAACCAGACAAGGATGCCCACTATCTCCACTCCTATTCAACATAGTACTGGAATTCCTAGCCAGAGCAATTAGGCAAGAAGAAGGAATAAAAGGAATACAAATAGGTAAAGAAACTGTCAAAATATCCCTATTTGCAGACGACATGATCCTATACCTTAAAGACCCAAAAAACTCTACTCAGAAGCTTCTAGACATCATCAATAGCTATAGCAAGGTAGCAGGATATAAAATCAAAATAGAAAAATCATTAGCATTTCTATACACTAACAATGAGCAAACGGAAAAAGAATGTATGAAAACAATTCCATTTACAATAGCCTCAAAAAAAATCAAATACCTAGGTGTAAACCTAACAAAAGATGTGAAAGACCTCTACAAGGAAAACTATACACTTCTGAAGAAAGAGATTGAGGAAGACTATAGAAAGGGAGAGATCTCCCATGCTCATGGATTGGTAGAATCAACATAGTAAAAATGTCGATACTCCCAAAAGTAATCTACATGTTTAATGCAATTCCATCAAAATTCCAATGACATTCATTAAAGAGATTGAAAAATCTACTCTGTGAAATTTATATGGAAACACAAGAGGCCACGAATAGCCAAGGCAATACTCAGTCAAAAGAACAATGCAGGAGGTATCACAATACCTGACTTCAAACTATATTACAAAGCAATAAAATAAAAACAGCATGGTACTGGCAAAAAACAGACATGAAGACCAGTGGAACAGAATAGAGGATCCAGATATGAAGCCACACAACTATAAGCAACTTATCTTTGACAAAGGAGCTAAAAATATACGATGGAGAAATAGCAGCCTCTTCAACAAAAAACTGCTGGGAAAACTGGTTAGCAGTCTGCAAAAAACTGAAACTAGATCCATGTATATCACCCTATACCAAGATTAACTCAAAATGGATCAAGGATCTTAATATCAGACCCCAAACTCTTAAGTTGATACAAGAAAGAGTAGGAAATACTCTGGAGTTAGTAGGTATAGGTAAGAACTTTCTCAATGAAACCCCAGCAGCACAGCAACTAAGAGATAGCATAGATAAATGGGACCTCATAAAACTAAAAAGCTTCTGTTCATCAAAAGAAATGGTCTCTAAACTGAAGAGAACACCCACAGAGTGGGAGAAAATATTTGCCATTATACATCAGACAAAGGACTGATAACCAGAATATATACAGGGAACTTAAAAAACTAAATTCTCCCAAAACTAATGAACCAATAAAGAAATGGGCAGTGAACTAAACAGAACTTTCTCAAAAGAAGAAATTCAAATGGCCAGAAAACACATGAAAAAATGCTCACCATCTCTAGCAATAAAGGAAATGCAAATTAAAACCACACTAAGATTCCACCTCACCCCTGTTAGAATAGCCATCATCAGCAACACCACCAACAACAGGTGTTGGCGAGGATGCGGGGAAAAAGGAACCCTCTTACACTGTTGTGGGAATGTAGACTAGTACAACCACTCTGGAAAAAAATTTGGAGGCTACTTAAAAAGCTGGACATCGATCTACCATTTGATCCAGCAATACCACTCTTGGGGATATACCCAAAAGACTGTTACTCCAGAGGCACCTGCACATCCATGTTTATTGCGGCACTATTCACAATAGCCAAGTTATGGAAACAGCCAAGATGCCCCAGCACTGACGAATGGATTAAGAAAATGTGGTATCTATACACAATGGAATTTTATGCAGCCATGAAGAAGAACGAAATGTTATCATTCGCTGGTAAATGGATGGAATTGGAGAACATCATTCTGAGTGAGGTTAGCCTGGCCCAAAAGACCAAAAATCGTATGTTCTCCCTCATATGTGGACATTAGATCAAGGGCAAACACAACAAGGGGATTGGACTATGAGCACATGATAAAAGCGAGAGCACACAAGGGAGGGTGAGGATAGGTAAGACACCTAAAAAACTAGCTAGCATTTGTTGCCCTTAATGCAGAGAAACTAAAGCAGATACCTTAAAGCAACTGAGGCCAATAGGAAAAGGGGACAGGAACTAGAGAAAAGGTTAGATCAAAAAGAATTAACCTAGAAGGTAACACCCACGCACAGGAAATCAATGTGAGTCAATGCCCTGTATAGCTATCCTTATCTCAACCAGCAAAACCCCTTGTTCCTTCCTATTATTGCTTATACTCTCTCTACAACAAAATTAGAGATAAGGGCAAAATAGTTTCTGCTGGGTATTGAGGGGGGGAGGGGAGGGGGTGGAGTGGGTGGTAAGGGAGGGGTGGGGGCAGGGGGGAGAAATGAACCAAGCCTTGTATGCACATATGACTAATAAAAGAAAAATGGAAAAAAAAAAAAAAAAAAAAAAAAGAACAAAGAAAGTGAAAAACCACAGACTAAAACATATTAACAATACATGTATCAGACAAGACTTATAGCCAAAATATACAAGGAATTTCTGGACATCAGTAAGAAAAAAGACAAAAGCTGGGTATAGATGGCTCATTCCTTTAATCCTAGCTACTCCGAAAGCAGAGATCAGAAGGATTAGGCAGTTCAAAGCCAACCTCAGGCAAATAGTTCTTGAGATCCTATCTTGAAAATACCCAACACAAAACAGGGCTGGTGGGATGGCTCAAGTGGCAGAGCACCTGCCTAGGAAGCATGAGGCCTGGAGTTCAAACCCCAGTACCAGGAAAAAAAAAAGTTAAAAGGGCTGGAGGCCTGGCTCAAGTGGTACCACACTTGCTTAGGAAGTATAAGGCCCTAAATTCAAAGGGCCTTACTACCACAAAGAAAAAAAATTGTTAAAAGATAGTATTATATAAGTTATATTAGGGAAGATGGGAATGGTAGAGTGCCTCACAAGTGTGAAGCCCTGAGTTCAAATTCCAGTACCACAAACACACAATGATATATTAGAGAGAATTTATTTATTTTTTCTTTCTTTTATTAGAGAGAATTTAAATGAAAATAGGTGCATTTATAGGTTTTCTTTGGGGATAAACAAAGACACAAATGAATAAAAATTTAAGTGAAACATGACAAAGAAAAAGTAGCAGTATTAGAAGGAAACATGCTCTTAATATTACCTTTCTTGTAACTGAGAAGAGACTTAAAGAAACAAAACCAAAATTATATAGTATGCAACAGAGCTACCATTCAAACCCAGAAATGTTATCTATAAAATCAGCCTGTTTTTTTCATATTTTGGTTTGGTTTTTTGATAGTCTCATTATGTCACCCAGTTGGCCTGAAACTGATGATCCTCTTGCCTCAACCTCCCAACTGCTGGGATTGCTGGCATGTGCCATCCCACCCAGGTAAATCAGAATTCTTTAATATTACTTAAGATGCAAACATTACACGAACCAAATGTCATATGCTATTAATCCTACTATATCATGTCCCTTTTCTGACTTCTCATATAAGCTTTTTTCCCTTCTTAGTGCTAATGGAATTCTAGCAACTATCCTAACTACAGGTTAAAAGTCTCATCATTAGGAAAAAAATGTCCACTGTTCTACTGGAGAGTTTTCTGCATTATAGAGCTTTCTGTTCTTTCTTTGTTGTTATGACATGATAGAGTGAATTTTCCTATGATAACAATCTTAGAATTGTAAGTTCAGGTGCTAAGAGATAAAATTTGCTCCCTGATAAAGTTACCTTTCCTCAGAAACTATATACCACCTTAGAAAACAAATAGGATGATCTGATTCCCAGGAAATGATACATTCTCTCTTGAATATGTGATTTACTGTAAGAAATTGTGGGGGGAAAAAAATTATTCAATAAGGTTAGTCTTATCCAAAATGTAAGTTTGTAACTCATGAGTTGTTTACAAGGAAAAAGTTGTTCTAAACTCCAACTTTTTTTTTTTCTCTCCCCTGTTAAATGTAGGTGTTTTCATTCATGTAGGAAAGGCCATGTAAATTCAGAGATTACCAAACAGGGACTTTGGTTCTGTTGAAGATGAGACAGCATAGCTCAACTACTGTCTAATTTTCAAGAAAGAAGTGTATATAAAAATTTAAAAGGTTCACCAGGCATGGGCTGGTACATGCCTGTAATTCGAGCACTTATAAGACAAAGCAGTACAATCACCAGTTCAAGGTTATACTACATAGCAAGATCATATCTATTAAAAAAAAAATCAAGTTCTTTACAAAGATTCCTCTATAGAGAAAGTTGCTGTGCTCTAGATGAACATCATGTATGTAGAAAATATTGAAATTTCAAAGCCATAAATTAATTACTTCTGGGCCTTTTAATAAAAATGGAGTGTTCAGCCGGCACCAGTAGCTCACATCTTAATACTAACTACTTGGGAGGCTGAGATCAGGAGGATCGAGATTCAAGGTCAGCCTGAGCAAATAGTTCTTTAGACCCCATCTCCAAAATCACCAGAGCAAAATGAACTGGAGGCATAGAGAGCCTGCTTTGCTACCATGAAGTCCTGAGTTCTTTAGGAAAAGATGACTTTTAAAGTTAGAGAAATAAAGTTTTTAATAAGCCATGCATAATAGAATTTTATCCAAGAATTAGTAACATAAATTCTAGAAAGATAATTTAATTCAGGTTCACTAAATATTCCTTATTTTTTAAGGAATTAAAATTGTTAAATTATTTAAATTTATGTATATGTTATATATAGTAATTATATAGTCATATAATTGCATAAATTTATAAATTTATAAATTTTTAATTCAAAGTTTATATATGTGTATATATATACACATATGCCTTCTCTAAATTATCAGTATAAATTATCATACTACTTTACTTAAAGTTCAGGTTAGCTGTGTGCTCATGCCTATAATCCTAGCTACTTTAGGCAGCTGAGATCAAGAGGCCACCCTGGGCAAATAGTTAGGAGATCCCGTCTCAACCAATAGCTGGTGAGGTGGTAGCACCTGTTATTCCGAACTACAAAGACGGGCTGAGATTAGGAATTGTGGGGTTCCAGGTCAGCGCAGACAAAAAAAAGTTTTGCGAATCCTCATCTCAACAAAAAAAGCTGGGTGTGATGGTGCATGCCTGTCATCCAAGCTATTTCCAGAAGCACAAATAAGAGGATCGTTGGTCCTGGCTACCCTAAGCAAAAGCAAGAACTTATTCCAAATAAAACGCAGTAAAAAAGGGCTAGAGATGTGGCTCAAGTAGTAGAGCACCTGCCTTCCAAGCACAAAGCCCTGAATTCAAACCTCAGTTCTTCTAAAAAAAAAAAAAGTTATTTTTATTTTTTCTTCCATTGGAAGCCACAGTGAATAGAATTTCCTACTGAACAAATCAGTTAATTATAGCTAAAATGAGTAACAGCTATCAATCACTAAGCGCTTATCAAGAGCTACAATATAAACTTTAAATTTTACTTTTAAGCCTCTTCAATTCTCTAAACATAGATACCATAATTCCAATTTTACAGATTCTATAAGTTCAAGCTTATAGCAACTAAAATGTAACTGTAATTCCAAGCCCTACAGTAATACCTCTGAAGGAATTTTTAAACTACAAACCACCTTGATATAAATCATTCACTTCAAACGTGTAAGGCCAGAGAGTCAATAAATTTTAGTAATACCAGTGCCCTCTCAGTTACTAAAAAAAAAAAAAAAAAAAAAAAAAAAACACTTTGGAAAAAAATACAACAAATTACTTGATTGAATCCTTTTCATCCACTATTTTTATTTTATATAAATAAATTACTTAAGTAATTACACAAGAATTCAGGCTTTGGTACAGTTAGTTACATTTAACTATTCCTATGTCAATTTTATTTTATTTATTTATTTTGAGACAAAGTCTTGCTACATAGCCCAGGTTGGTCTCCCAATTCTCAATCCTCTGCATCTGCCTACCAAGTGCCTGAATTACAGACAGGACCACCATATGCCCAGCAATATACCCTTCCTTTTTTTGTGTGCTATTGGGTTTGAACTCAGGGTCTTGCACTTGCTGGGAAGGGCTCCACCCTCTGAGCTAACATAAAGGATACTTCTAGATATACTGTAGAATGTAAAAGAAGAATCTGATGTTTGTTTTCTTGTGGTACCGGGGATTGAACCCACTCTACCACTGAGCTGTATCCCCAGATCTTATATCCATGTTTTAAATGACTAGAGTACGTTATATAAGGCTGAATATGCAGGTAATAAAATTATTTTAACTTTGGTTCCATTTTTACTGTGCTTCACAGAACTGACAATACCTATATCCTAACTTATATAAAGGAGGTTGTTGGCTATCATTACCTATTCCACTAGGCTTGGAGGTATGGTTTCTTAAGTGGTAGAGTACTTGGCTAGCATGAATTGGCAAGGCCCTGAATTCAAAGTCCAGTACACCAAAAAAGATTTCACTCAAATTCAAATTTTATTGTTAAAATATTTCAAAAGGTTTCTGTATTCAAATTTCTTCAAATATGATGCAGACAAAAATGTTATCGTACATGCAAATATTCAAACCTTCATGTTACTGAAATTCTAGACATCACTTCCAAGATCAAGACCAATTCCAAACAATACTTACATTAGACACAACTGTAATAAACGCATGTGCTATAAGAAATGGCAAAGTTTCAGGAGATCCATATTCAAAGCAATCCTTCATGAGAGAAAGACCATTTTTCCCACAGAACAAACAGACATAACGAAGCAAATGCAATGGTACTTCTACATCCTGTGAAAATAAAGAAAATATGTCATATTAACACTTATCAGCAACAATTTATATTGTTAGCATACTAGAAAGATACTGAAGAGACATAAAAATAAACTAAAAAAGTTATAAAAACAAAAAATTTTCTGTAAACCTTAGAATGAAAAAAGACACTTACATTCATATCACAGAATGCCCCTAATATGTTACTTTCTTGAGTTGATATATCCTAATTTAAGAAAAGAGTAAATAAAATTAGATCACAACTACTGACAATCTATAAAACAATATTCTAACGACTGATTTTTAAAAAAAGAACACTAATTGCAAACACTGTGCAATTCCTTATCAACAGTGATATTTCTATGTGAAGCTAGTGAGTCAGCTCTAAGGAATATTTTAAGCAGTCTTACTTGAATGAAATCTTCTATTACTAATACTCTTACACAATTTTTCCTCATTTCTTGGTTTCTGTCTTGCATTTGTTGTGATTTTTGTTTTGCAGTTGTGTATATCAGGTAATTGCTCTACCACTAAGATACAACCCCCACCACAGTTGACTTTCTTAAGCACCTCTGCCCTAGAGCTCATGATCTTCTTGCCTTCTCCAAAGTGCTGGGATTACAGGCATTCACCACCTGATCCAGCTTATACTTCACTTTAAATAAAAACAATTAAGCTTTCCTTTAAAAAACAGACAGTATTAGGGCTAGGTAAGATGTAGCTCAGTGGTAGAGCACTTGCCAGTCATATGCAAGGCCCTGATTTTGAGCCCTACCACCACAAAGAAATAAGTAAAACTTCCCAAAATATCAGGATAATTCTTACAAAAATATAACTTAATAAGGTATGCTAGAATTTTCTAGAAGTATACTTAAGAGTTCCACAACATGTTTTCCATATATACATTTAAACTGCCTGAAACCACACTCATACACTGTTGGTGAAAGTGTAAGTAGGTAGGTTTTTGGAAGGGACAATACACAGTATTTATTAATATTTAAAATGCACATTGCCTTTGAAACAGCAATTTATTTTCTGGGTATTTATCCTGAGGAACCACCAAAGAAGTGCTGTGAAAATTTATGTTAATGATGCTCACCTAGTATTTATAAACCCCTAAACGTTAAAAACAACTGATATCCATCAAACAGGTAGCTAAATAAACAGTGGCCTAACTATCCAGTCTTATGCAGCCCTTAAAAACAAAAATACTCTAACTGGGATGTGTTGATGGTTGCACAACTCTAAAAATTCACTAAAAATAAACTGCACACTTTAAGCAAATAACTGAATACTTTAAGCTAAACAGATTACACTTTTAAAAGCTGTTTAAAAAATTATATCATAGATTTTATGATCAGGATCTGATTTTTTTTTTTGAGACAGGGTTCAATTCTCAGCACCAAGAAATTAAAAAAAAGTCCAGAATTTAAGAATTCCTATGGTATTACTAAATACAGAATCATGTACTACGTGAACTATACCGGAATAGTAAGTTTCAGAGATTTCTAGTGCTCTCAGGAAGAGAACTGTGTAAGAATTTCTAGCCATTTTGGAGTTAAAGGTCACTATATTAATAAAATTTCTGCTTAAAAAGTCAATGGTGCTCAAATTAGTAGTGATGGTTGTATAACTTTACAAAGTATACTAAAACCACAAACTTGTAAACTTCAAGGGGGTAATTTTTTTTTTTTTTGAGAAAGGGTCTTGCTATGTAGCCCAGGTTGGTCTTGAACTTGCAATCCTATTGTTTCAGCCTCCCGAAAGCTGGAATTACAGGCATGCAATAACCCACTCAGCTTTAAAGAGGTGAATTTTTTAAAACATTTTTAATTTTGAAAAGGGTGAAAAAAGATGGTGTGGGTGTTACATGCCTATAATCCCTGCACTCAGGAGGTGAGACAGGAGCAGAGTGAGTATGAGGACAGCCTGGGCTACACAGCAAGACCCTTATCAAAAAAAAGCAAAGAGCCAGGCACCGGTAGGTCATGTCTGTGATCCTAGCTACTCAGGAAGCAGAGATCAGGAGGATCAAGATTCACAGCCAGCCCAGGGAAATAGTTATCGAGCCATTATCTCCAAAACACCTATCACAAAAAAAGGGCTAGCAGACTGGCTCAAGTGATAGAGCATCTGCCTAGGAAGCCCATTCCTGAGTTCTGAGGAAGCTTGCCTTCTTTTGAGCTACCCAATCTTTCTTCTGATCGAGGGCTATTTTGGGAAGATTCTACCTCTTCTTTTCAACCTCTCTCGAGCTTCTTCTCATAGACATGATTCCTACAGAAGCATGAGCTTTCCATATACCTGCTTCATGGTGTCTGAGAGCATTGTTCTTATACTGAAAGAATCGTTTCTTACAAGAATCTTCATCATCTGTCCAATGTACTTTTACAACGAACTCTTTGCTTTCAGAATCAAAAACAAGGAACTGTTTGGTACTATAAGGAATAGATAAGTCTGCATTCACAACTCCCTTCTGCGCCTTTTTCCCTCCAAATTTTTTACTGTCAGTTGTAATGTGGGCATGGCCACATTTAAATAGCAGGTGAGCACCAAGTTGACCATCAGTGCTTCCCAATTTTTTTCATCTCTGGTTGGCTTCATAGATTCTGTCCATGCCAAACCTACTGAGAAGCCTGCAGGCCCACAGAAGACCAGTATAACACGCTGCAGCATAAATTTGCTAGGACAATTTTCATCCATATGTTGACAGTTTGTGTTACATGCCGTGCACAAACTCATATCCCCTTCTATATGAGCAAAAAGTAATCTGACAAATGACATCTTTGCTAGTTTAAATGAACTACCACCCCATATTGGGGTTTTTACTTATTTTATCCTAGGTCACCAAGTACTATCAAACAGTAGTCAGTTCTGTTTCTTCTAAATTTCTCTGGTATCATTTAAAAGGAAGCCTTAAATTCTTGACAGCTTTAGTAAACCCCATCCTGCAGAACAGAAACCTGCTCCAATCACTAAATCTTTTAATATATTATAAACTTTTAGCAAGGCATGATGGCACACACCTATAGTTCTATCTATTCAGGAGGCTCAAGTGGTAGAACATCTGCCTAACAAGCGCAAGATCCTGAGTTCAAACCCCAATACAACCCGAAAAAAGAAATTATAGGACTGTTCAATGACAAAGCCTTCTGAGGAACATTCCTAGACAGTATACAGCTGGTGGAGTGGCTCAAGCAGTAAAGGCACTTGCCTCGCAAGCTGCAGGCCCTGAGTACCAGTACCACCAAAACAAACAAAAAACCAATACAATATACAGTCTGTGGTCTACTTGGAATCTATTCAAGAGAGATATACTGTTAGTTTGACAGGATATTCTTATAATTTTCTTAAAGAGGTAAGTGACAGAGCTAACCCCCATTTATAACTTTTGAATTTATATTGCTTCATCCCATGCGCAAAACTATTTTTTTCCTACAAATAGTTTAGAGGTTGGTGTTTTTCACATTGGGAGTTGTAAGAGAAAGAATGTTTTATTTTATTTATCTTCAGTGACTTTAGAATACACTGGAAGTACTAAAATTTTTCTTAAAAGACAAAAAAAAGCAATAAATTATTGGAATATTCCAATAAAAGAACTATTTCTAGATTAAGAAAGCAAAGATCAGAGAGTACAAAGGTGATTTTTTAAAAAGCAGAGACTTAAAAGAAAGCATATGGTAGATTCTCTAGTGGTCACAATTTTCTCATCCCAGTATATACTAGAAACATATGTCCAAGGATAGAAATGGAAACTTTACCATCTAGAGATGGAGCCTATTTAACTTCCTCTTACTTGTAGACTGCCCTTGTGAATGCTTCAAACACCAGAATGCAGCAAAATACATTCAGTGCCATTCAGAGGCTACACTTTAAGAAGCCTTACAGCTTTTCTACTTTTGCCTTACTTGAGCACTGCTAAAAACTTACCACGTAAGAAAGCCTATTAGTAGTAGAGAATAAGAAGCCATGGAGAGAATACAAGAAGCTCCAGACAGCAGTCAAGCCCCATATGCCAGACAAACAGGTGATTTTCAACCCATCCAAACAACTGTCAAAATGAATGGACAGCATGAATGAGGCCATACAAAGCTAGCAAAGGAACTTCCAGACCAGAGAAATAACAAGTAACTACAAATTAAGCCACTAATACATTAACACTTAACTGTCTCGATTCCTTCTTTTAAGAAAGAAATCTCATTATCTTAGTAAGTCTAAGGTGAGCTACTAAGTTCCTAAAAAATGCTAATAGAGGTAAGAAGCTTAACTTACAAAAAAATACTGTTATTTTAAAACCACCATTATAGTTAATTAAGCACTTTTCTGAATGGAGAATTCCAATCTGTTATCTATGTTTCTAAGAATGAATTAAAAATTTTATGTGCTTCATTTCCTCAAGTATTTTTTTTTTTGTTTGGAAGAGTCACAATAAGCAGAGCATAGCTCTACCACAGCAAAATCTTTAAGACAGAAACAATTTAATTTCTATGAGTTCAATTTACAAAAATGTTAAGCAAAATTTTAACACAAATTGCTACAAAAATATTCTAAAGAAAACTGAAATAATTTTGGCAACACAAGTGACTTTCATGAATTTTTCCTTCAAAAATAACTTTCTGTATTCATTCGTAAGTGACAAAGAGACTGCTAAGCTAACTATTGGCTTGCTAATAACGATTAACTCACAATAGCTATTTTTACATACCTCTATAGTAGGATGAGTATAGCTTGTAAGCAGTATATAAGGGAAACTGTAATTTGAAAAACTTTTTGCTACACATAGTAAGAGTTTTTCTTTCTCATCTGTACTCCATAAACTAAAGGATCAGAACTCTTTGAAGATTCCTCCTCAGTCAGATTACAATTCTTGTAGAGTTTGGTTTTTTTCTATTGATTTTTGTCTTTCTGTACTTCCTTCATACCCTCTCTATCTATATTCAGTGGTTCTTCCGCTTGATTACTCTCGTCTTGCCACGTGGAATCTATGTTAATAGTAGTACAATGTTACAAAGCTGGCGCGGAGCACTTGAACTTGGGCAATCACTAAGTTAATAAGTGCACACACTACTTGGTAAAAAATCTCAAATGCTTATCTTCTTGAAGCAGCATAGACATTGCCTATAAGAGAAAATAAAATTCAATAAAAGTGCTCCTAGACACAACAGTTATATTTTTAAATAAGTAGTATGAAAAAAACAAGTAAGCAAATATTAAATTCTTTTTTGGTGGTTTTGTGGGTCATTGTTTTGTTTGCAGTGTTGGGATTCAACCCAGGGCCTTTCATACTAGACAAGCACTCTACCACTGGAGCTATATCCTCAGCCCTAAAATATTTTTTTTCTGAACGCCAGTTTTTATTTTCTCTCTGCTGGGGTAGCAATGTAATAATTTATAAAGAAGTACATCCACCAACAAATGGAATTTAAGTTAGTAAAGTATCATCATTTAGGTTTACAGCTATCATCCTTGTATTGAGTATGTATTTATCTCAAAACATACATACTGTTTAAGCCTAAGAATTTACAGCCTATTTCTTTGGTTTTCCATACTAAGTTCTCAAACATATGGTTGTAACTTTTAGAAAACTGGTTACAACAAAAATATCTTATTAGCAGAATTATCTAGCTATTAAATAAAGGATTTTACTATCAACTATAAAATAGCTATATTTTTAATTAATAATTTGCTTGAAACACAACCTGGAATAGGTATTCTCACCCTATTGCAGATCAAACATGTCAGAAACACCAAATGCACATGGTCATGTATAAATGTCAACAAAACAGTCAGTATTAATAAATAAAACTTGTTCTCTTAGACATGTTCAGTTAATAGCTCAAAGCCAACCATACTGAATAATTAAGAGTTCGGTGAATGAAATAAATAATACACACAAAGTACATGGTTCTAGTATTAGTATCCAATGATAGATGACAGTTAATCAATTATTATCTACTATGTGCAGCTAGTAAATATCAAAATACACTAAATATTCTCACACGTTAGTACAAATAGATAATAAATTTCCTGTATAACCATATAAAAGTAGTTGATTTCTACAAGTCGTTGCAAACTTGAAGTGTGCAACAATGCTTTGATAATCTTCCATTAAAAGGTGAACCCTAATTTTCTTCCCCTGAATGTAGCTAGGACTCACTTCAAATAAATATGAATGTGATGGAAATGACATGTGACATTTAAAGACTAAGTCACAAAAGACAATGTCATCATGCTGTAACAACACTTCAAGCTGCCTGCAGAGCAATCCACAGGAGAAATAACTAAGTCTTCCCATGTTAACCAATAATTAACTTGACAATCACATAGCAAGCCAAATTGGGATCCCCAAGCCATGCAAAGCTTCACATCTTCACTTAACTTTATGAGAAACCCAAGCCAAACCGGACTAGCTATGCTACTCCTAAACTCCTGTCCCACTGAAACTTTGAGGTAATAAATGTTATTGCTGTTAATATACAAATTGGTGCTGCGCATAGGGGCACCACGTTTGTTGTAACCCTAGCCCTTGGGAGACTGAGGCTGGAAGATTATAAGCTTGAGATCAACCTGGGGTAATGATGGGGTGAGAACTTATCTTGAGAGTGTTTTTTTTAATTTAAAAAAAATAATAATTTATACAGAAAGACACATCCACACCTGATATGTCTCAGTAGCAAAAATTAAAAGGTTTTACTTCAAAGACCTTCTCAAGCATTACAATTCTGTAATATTGTAATTCTACAGGAAGAAAAGTAAATACATTTGCTTCTAAAGTTTTTGATGAGCAGTTCTTTAATGTTTAGGGAAAATTAGCTTTAAACAAAAGGTCATAAACTTAAGCATTTTTCTGTAGAAAAATGGGAATTCTTGAGTTCCCAGAATAGGATCTTGCGGTTGAGACTTGGAACAGGGAAAACAAAATTACCTTTAAGAATTAGCTGTTGGGGCATGAGGTGTGTCCTCATCAGGGGTAGAGTGCCTGCTTTGCAAGCACAAAACCTTAAGTTCAAACCCCAGACTCACCCAACCCCCCGCCAAAAAATTGGTCATTAGAACTGGACACTAGTGGCTCATGCCTGTAACCCAGCTACTTGGAGGCTTGAGATCGGGAGGATTGCCCAGGCAAATAGTTCATGAAAACTCCATCTCCAAAACAACCATAGCAAAATTTATAGATGGTGGCTCAAGCAGCAGAGGCAATGTGCTTGCAAGTGACTCAAGTGGAAGGCAGCTATGTTCACCACATACCACCAATGCAAGCACCTGTGACTTATTATGTGGTGGGTAAAGCATCTGCCAGGCAAGTGTGAGGCCTTGAGTTCAATTCCCAGTTCTACCAAACAAAAAAAAAAAAAAAAGACAGAAAAGAAAAATGGGCATTAACCTGTTAGGTAACTGACTGGGAACCTAATCTTCAAAGATAAAAATTTTGTGAAGAGTCCAGCACTGGGTGCTCATGTTCCTAGCTACTCAAGAGTAGAGGGATCAAAAGAATCTCGGGTTTGAGGCCAGTCCACAAAAAATAGGTTGGAAAGACCCTACCTCGAAAAACACTCAAACAAAAAAAAGATACTGGTGGTGGCAAAAAAGCCTAGGGCATGGCTCATAGTGGTAGAGCACCTGCCTAACAAGAGTGAGGTCCGGAATTATAAGTCAGCCTCTGGCACCCAGAGCAAAAATTACTTTATATATGAGCTTAATTATTCAGTCAAACAATTTTCTTGATCCAAAAAAAAAAGTGAAGCCTCAAAATGGAACACATGAATTAACCTATTCAAAAGCAATAGCTTCTAAAACTGTTCTT